CTGAAGTAATCAATGCATACAGTGCGCTAGTATTGCTGCCTGACCCTTTCCTGTGGCGTTTAGAATTTTTATGCAGGTCAAAAGCACATGAGAAAGCATAAACTAACATTGTCCTGACAACAGACTTCTGAACTCCCATTCAAGCACAGCTATTTGCTCCTAAATGTTGTTGTGTAAGTATCTGAAGAAGTCTTCTCAAAAGTAACATGGTTACTGACATGGTCAGAAATAAGGCAAGAATCATCTTCCTTAACAGAAAAAAAATATTGGAGCATGAACAAGTAAGAAATTATAGTACTGGAATTAAGAAAAAGTGTATCCTACAGGAATCAGCTGCAAAATGGCCATCTCAGATTGCAGCAGATGGACTCTCCCAGCTGTAAAGGACCAGTTACTTGAACCTGTAAAAGGTCTGCTGGGAGGATGAATTAATACTTGAAAGGCTTGTAGCAATCCCAGGAAAATGACTTTGGGAGATAGAGTCAAATATTCCTCTTTGAAGGCTAAGTTTTACAGTTTTAGGAGGCCAGGTTTGGTATGCAGGTTCTTCTGTGTGCTTTTGATTCATAGCATTAATAACAAATCTAGATATCTTACAGATGTAACCTTGGCCAAAGTTGATTAATGGGAAGTCAAATCATTCCTTTTCAAAGCTAGGTCTTACTTCAGGCAAAGTAATTTTTAATTAAAAAATATGAGCAAAACTTCTTTGCAACCAGCAGTAACCTTTGTCTCAACTTACACATACGAAGTGAGCAATTTTTTTTTTTTTAATTAGAGCTGAAAACTCAATTGGGTATGAAAGTCAAGCTGCTTTCTTTCCTTCTCTCTTCAGTAACCTTGTGCTATTTCAAACATACTTTTATTACATTTACCCTACACCTTAGGTGGGCGAGCATTTCCAATAATTGTGTTAGAAATATAACAGCATGAGCTGCAAATCTCAGGTTGAGTTTGCAGTCTTGGAAATTAAGGAAAAAGCCCGATCTTAAATATTTAAGAATGACATATGACTTCAAAAGACACACATGGAATCTTTCCTACACTATTTTTACAGTCCCTTTTCCAAATACAGCTATGCCCAACATCGAGTAAAAGCAAAGAAATTCAGAGTTCTTTGCCCTTGGCACCTTCCACAAACTTAGAGATAAGCTTTCACCGTTGTGTATTTCCTTATAAAAGACCAAGACCTCGACCAGCTGCTTGAGGCACCTGTGCAGAACTTTTTAATATTATTGCTACATGGTATTTTGACATTTTTTCTCCTTAGAGATGAAACAAATAGGGCAAATGGTTTGTTTTTACTACCTTCCATTATTGCCTAGAGTCATGAGCTGTTTTTCCTTTTGACAGATGCTATAATATCAAGGTGGTACCATCTCACTCTTGGTGAGACTTTACCCTAGGAAAGTGTTTTGCTTATAATCTACTCCTTGGCAGTCCAACCTTTATCACATGTTTTGTTTCTTTCACTCCCAGGAAGGGCAGGTGTGGTTGTGTTGCTATACTTCATATACAGATAAATAACTTTATAATTATTTTGAAACACTAAAAATTGAATTTTTCAATTTATCTGGCCACATCTTCTGTTTTCACATTTAAAAAAAAAGGATTAATTTATCATCTGGTCTCCTAATTACAAGTTTTCAGTGTCCCATGGTTCCTAGTACATTTGCCCCAACATGCCTTAAAGTTTGAGGAATGAAAGTGTAAGTCATCGGTAAGGACAGCTTTCTTCTTGAGGAAAAAGGAAAACTTATTGTTTTCACTTTAAGCACATTAAAGCACGTTAAATCTTCAACCACTCAGTTCAGACCTCAGTTAAAAGCTCTGAAAAGCTTATTCCTCTAAGCGCTGCACAGAAACTTACAGCTTATTTCAGAGGTCAAAATTTCTGTCTGGCAAGTACTAGTAGAATGCAACTGAGTTTACATTGTACAGTCTAGTGAATATTCATATTCCTCACTCTCCGTTTCAGTTTTATACTTCTCTCAATGTTAACAAAGGCATAAGGCATGGAGTTGTACAGCTCTTCAAATATTCTATTTAAAGTATTCTACTAGTACTTAAATGTGCATTTAAAATCTGCTAAGATCCCTAGTCCTATTGAATTAAAACCTCCGATGCATTTAAGCATGAGTGTGAGCCGTTGAACTGTACAGGCTAGAAGCCCAGTTGTGCAAGCCTACAGAAGTTTACTGTTGCAGTTAAGTATAAGCCAGTTACAAATACAGCCAATGATTATAAAATACATTTCAGTAAACCATGAAAGGATAAAATAGTAAGATAGAAGGACATAATAAATAAAGGTAATGAAACACACACAGCTAAAAAAACATTGTTCTGGAGCTATAAGTAACACGCAAGGATGCTTAGATTTGTATATACAGGTTTTTTTTTCCTTGATAATAAACACTTCAGTCTCCACTGAATACTAAAGGATTCAGCTACTGGTATTTCCTATTTTTCACAATGGTGTTTGAGTCACTGACAAAAGCCATCAAATTGTCAAGAGTCATATTTGCATACCACAGGGTAGACACCCACCATACGTGACAAAGTATCTCTAACAAAAGAGGACTCATCTCTTCCCAAAAAGACTGCAGTATTTTGCTAAAAATGCAAACTTCTAAGCATAACTTAAGATCACAACTGTGGGGAGAAGGGGAGGAAAAAGCTGCCCATAAGACAAGACCTCAGTTTCTGCACAAAATACACAACAGCCCAATTTAGAAAAGCATCAACATCAGCAAATGCTAAACATCTACCAGTGCAGAAAAATCATTTGACATGGGTGATGTTACTGACCTTTTATTTGCAGTAATTGTTGCATCATGTCTACATGAGCAGATATTTACCTTCTTTCAGATTGAGCAGAGCTAGCAGAACAGTTGCTTCTCCATTCCACTCCTTCCACAGCTATACTGATATATAATCATTAAGGTTAAGATTCCAAAAGAGCAAGCTGGTACCTCAAGTGCACCTTACAACTTTTTGAAAGCCATAAGTCTAGGTTCTCATTTGGATACACAAATACGAGTTCCTCTCATTTACTGCCAAGAAATCTCAATTCAAAAATTGTTAGGCCTTAATTCGATTTATTGTATTTATGCTACCCAGTTCTACACTTCTCAGGGGTTCAGCAACTGATCCAGCACCTACTTTTAAGCTAATGCAAGTCAAAGTAAGAATTTTAGTACTCTTTTAGGCCCCTAGGCTGTCTGTGCAACACACAGGACACCGCTATACCACACACAAAACAGAGAGGTCATAAGGGCCAGCAGGTAGACAGTGTTAGCTCTGCAGTGCATCCTAAACCCTGCGCAATATCTTCTATCCTCATAGCATCCAAGACTTTGAGATCATCACTTCCAACTGTTCCTTTAAAGGACTCAAAGGTACTTGTCTTTTGAGGACACATGAGAAGACAAATAGTACCTTTCTTCTTTTTGCAGCACTTATTCAGCACAATTTGTCCAGAAAACAAAAATCTGCTTTCAAATAGTTCTTAAGACACACGGGGTTCAAGCCTTCTATTCTTCGACCATCCACACTACCAAGCTTCCCAAGATGCTACACATTCCACTGAAGACAAGCTACCATGCAAATAAAGCAATGGCTGGAAATCATGATTACTTTCCTTCATAATATAAAAATTAGGCCATTCTGCTTGTTTTCTCATCCTGGCTCCTAAGCATTTTCGCATCAATTGGGAAAGGTCTAAGTTTAGCCACTAAAGCTTAAAAGAACCTGCAAGTGAGGGCTTGTTGGACTACATTAAGAGGAAAGTCTGAACAAGAGATTTAATAAACGAGTCCAATTTAAATTCTGTCCTTGATAAAAGCCAATTCTCATGCCCTTTACATATGAGAGAAGTCAGAGCTCAAGGTTTTCTTAATGTTTTCTACTATGTTAGTCTAAATACAGTAGCATGATACTTCTGTGAAAAATGTATGTACATAGCAGTGTAAAATCTCTGCACACTGTGTTTACCTCCAGTAAAAATCAGAGTCAGTGAAGAGAAAGCCAGGTAGGAAGCAATTACGCCAAACAGTTTTCTAGATTTCTTTAACTCCTCTCCCCCTCCCCACCTCCAATTTTTTGGGGGCAAAGCTACAGCTGTTTTCTCCAGAGGAAAGTAAAAGACAGGTATATTGCATCAGAACAGTTGGAACTTTCTCTGGACCAGGAAATAATACATTGTCTTAACGGTGTTTTACATTCTTGCATTACAACAAAACATGCTCTAGAAGACCACAGCATCTGAAAGACGGATCTGCTTTGGCCTGACAATCTGTTCAGACCTGCTCCATATTAACAGCAGGTCAAACTAACCTGATCTATTGCTGGAACACAGTAGTAAATTTGGCACCAGCTACTTTTAATATTAAAGTGCATGATCTCTGACATTTCATGTCAAGTTTAAGACATTCCATGCTGGGGCCATCCATAATCAAATTATGACTAAGCATAACACCACTCATCTGCAAACTTACAGGCATTCCACATTCATTTTTAAAACAGGAGCTTGACTGCAGGCTAGCCTGCATCAAAAGAGGTCTGTTTTCTATACTGGATATTTTGAATTTCAAACAGGGTAAAAGGGTATTCAAAATATATATCATATACGATATATAGTCTGTCTTATGGGCAAGATATATATAGAGACAGCTAAGTCTCATCTGAAATAGCATCTGAAATCTGTTCATATTAACAATTTTTAACTCACTCCCTTCTACTCTTCCCTCCTCTCTGTTCCAGTGGACTCTATACCGGCTTAATCATATGGACTTCTAAGCAAAGCACATATTTCATCATGCTTGATGCCAGACAACATAAGACAATGGAAATTCAGATACTGAAATACAGTACCAAGATTAAACCACTTTCACTCTGAAACAGAGAAGGCACAGTGAATTTGGAAGAACACACTTACACATGAAACCTAGAAAGCTTAAGATGCAGATTTATTATGCATTAGGAAGCTTATTAACTTAAAAACCAAACTGCATAGTACAAAAGGTTGGTTATCTCTGCTCATGTGGAACAAGTTTCAAAATATATATATTTAAAATCTGTTCAGTCAATACATAATCCTTTTAAAAAAGCTGTATATCCATCAGTACCCTCATTACATTTATAAATACATGATTTACACAGCACCTCATCTGGAAAAATTAAAACTCCTTACAAATATCTACATATATTGCATACATATAAAACATTCATAAGAGTACTTTGTTAAAGTCAGGTTTAATGGTCCATTTACACTGCAGTAAAATACATATAAATCTGTATTTTTTCATAAAATGTCTCTAAAAATTAGCACATTTGTAGCCATTTGTAACTTCTTTAAAGCATCTTTTAGAAAGGAAATTTGATATGAATATATCCATGAGATTCAGCAGGTGAGACAGTTATAAGAAGGCTAAATACAATTAGTAACTGAACATCAATTAGCAGTTAAGGCAGGGGTGAAAATTAATAGGAAAGATTTCATATGGCAGATAAAGTGACAAAATGCAGTAAATATACAAATTTCTTGATGTAAACTTCTCTGGCACCCACTGCCTTTCCTGCCTCAGAAGTTAGGAATGTCCATACTTCTGATGCTGAACATTACATCATTCAACTTTATCTTCCTATGAGCAAAACGTTAATGTGACCAGTGCTCTCAGGCGCCATCTGGATCTGCTTTAATTGCTCAGTACAGATTGTTCTGAAACATGGGTTTAAGACATCGAAATGATCTTCATCTAGGAGCAATGAGTGGCACGTGTAATCATTCACGTTCTGCAGTCACCTCAGGTTATCATCATCAGTGCCTTCTGGTAACGACTGGATTCCAAGTTAGTAATATTTGAGAATATGTCAAGAAATTCAAAATGACCTTTACGAATAAATAATATTTCGGATACCAGAACAATATAGATCAGTCCCTCTCATATCCATGAGGACTATACGGGGCATGCATGCAGACAAAAGGCATAAGAAACACAAAATAACCTTTAACCGTGGTGGCAGAAACTGCGTTCCGTCTCAAATTGGATCATTTTGCATATGACTTTGGGAACTGAACGTTCAACTTAAAGTTTCCACTACGTCTGCATGTTAAGGTTTTTACCCAATACCAGGATTTGACATGCATTTGCAGTCACTTATTATTAGGTCCTGGATATGGAATCACATCTAGTAGTTGTGACCTCCTACGCTAAACAAACCCTCCTGCAAGTATGGAATCAGCCGCAAGTACAGATTTGAGTATTCACACAGCATGTGCCCTCCCTTGCACACGGTAACCTTCCCATTGGAGGCCAGATACTCAGCACATCCTACCCTGCTTCCAGATCTACAATTCAGCACACGAATTTCTTCAAGTGTCCTCAGAAGTTAGCCTTCATACACTGCTGTCTTGCAGGAGTGGTTCAATGTCCTCTTCACTCCCTCTGTCCAAGTTGTTGCTCACCGTACTGTTGATGCTGTTGCTGTGTTTTCTTGTACTGTTGGCTTTACTGTGCTCAGGAATAAATAAGGCCACCAGAAAAGCCAGAAGAACAATACATGCTCCAACCAGGAAGGGCGGACCAGGAATGATTGCTCTCTGCAAGGAAACAAGCATATCAGAAAAATTCAAGGAATTTAGGATATTGACTTCTGCATTAAGAACTACACCATTAAGACAGGAAATAATAGGGAATATTTACACTGTCTACAAACTGTATACAAACAAGTTCACATGTGCACTGCAAAAAAAAATTGTGTATCTACAGTTCCTAAGAATTCCTCACCTGATCTGCACAGGGATCTAAAACATAGAACTATGCACAAAACTATCAGTTTACAGTAAGATTATTTCACAGACCGATGCTTCTGATGATGTTCTGAAGGTTTGTTTTTTTTTTTTTAATTAACATAATAAGGCTGTGAAATCGGGAAAATTTCTCTTAAGATTAACAGGATAAAGTTTTAACAACAAGAAGTAAACATGCTCAATAAATCTTTAATTTTGTAACTTCACATTTTCATTTGCTTCCATGCCTGACACTCTTTAAAGTCAAGGTCGCTGAATATACAAACATTCCCCAAATATACAAACATCCCCCAAATTGAACTATATGCGAGGAGAATAAAGGCAGGCTATGCAGTTCAGGTAATACATACCCCCTCTCACTGCAAGGATAGATTGCTGACATGTATACTGACTCGATATTTAGAGTTCACCTCTCTTGCTCACAGGCAGTTCAATTAAAAATAAAATACAACTTATCCACATTTCATAACCATGCTTAAAAACCAAGCACCAGAAAGTTTAAGCTTAATTTTAAGCCAGCTAAATTTGATTGCAGAATTCCACAGAAGACTGCAGCAATCCTGAAATTTAAATAAATCCTTAAACATCCTTCCTGTATTTTCAGTAACCACAATTAAATAAAAATTAGAAGGTTAAGCTTGTCAGTCTACAACAGTACTTGTTTCTATCAAACAAAATGGAGAAAGTCAGTCTACTATAAAGCAGTAAAGTTGAAACTGAGCATACAGTAACAAGACATTTCCCTTTCTTCAACTCTTGTGGCAAGCAGAGGCCTAACTTCTCAGCTGACAGCATCAAAATTTAAGAGGTTTACACATATTAAACAGAATTTGTATTAGCAATATTATATTAATGTCCCCTAGATGCTACGCGCAGAAGTACTTAAAAATTTACTACACTTCCATGAATGAATCCCCTTATCTGTGGCTGAACAGCTGATCTATCTGAGTAACTTTTGAATATTCCACTATTGCAGTTTCATTGAAGGGAGTCATAAGTCGCATTGAAAAGTCGTCCTTGCTTATGGCATTGCTGGGTGTTTTATTACTGTCCAAATACAGTCTAGGATTGCATTGTCACTGTAATGGATATGGGTGGATAATTACTATGATGTAACCTCATTCTCCTCTTAAAGCTACCTAGTTCTGAAAACGGTTATTTAGAAGGGAACAGAGATAAATGTTTGGCTTTTACTATTTTTGCTGCTTTGAGGATCAGGTATTCAATATTCTTCGAATAGATGCATAATGATATTTCCTAACAGAAGAAAATTATAAGTGTGACCTACACCGCAGCTCTCCCACTTCAAAGATGAAAAAGGTGATATTCAGTAAAATTCTACTTTTAAGTCTTCTAGCTAGAGAAATGCTTAAAGGTGAGTTAGGAAAAAGGGAAACAAACTTAAGTCTGAGTTGATAAAGAAGAAAGAAAATCCACACCTTAAACAGAACCACTAGGATTTGTTTCCTTTCATTCACTTGACCCATTAAATAACTGAAATTTGCAAACTTCCCTGTCAAACTGTTTGAATATGAAGGTCTACAAAAACATTAAATCTGATAGTTTTAGAATGCTGCCCACAGAAAACTTCATATGCAAAAAATACAATACTATCTTAGGACAACTGTTAGTTCTGTGTAGTCAAGTTTAACTTTTTTTTTTTTTTTAAATGAGACAAAAGATAGCTTTCCCTCATCAAGGTATAAGGTATCAAAAACTGCATGAACAAATCAGTCTTTATAGTAAGAATTTCAACAATAGCTATATAAATAGCCTACCTATGTCGATAAGCAGAGAACCATTTCCTGTAGTCACACTAACAACTAGTATTACAGTAAGGGAAACAAAGGAGGAAGCCTTGACAGCACATTGGATTTAATCAAGGTTCAGCCCTGTAACCGCGCATTCTCAATTCAGTGCTTGTAGACTCAGAGCTCTGGACAAATAGGGGTAAAACATGAGCTCAAGTACCAACAAAAAACATTTAACAAGGCTACTGCAGCTCCAAAGACACTCATGAAAACAAGGTAACCAGAACATCCGAGCTTGTTATTAACCACAGGAAGTTCCATCTGAACCTGAGAAAAAAATTCTTCACTGTGAGGGTGGCAGAGCATTGGAACAGGTTGCCCAGAGAGGTAGTGGAGTCTCCTTCCCTGGAGATATTCAAAACCCGTCTGGATGTGATCCTGGGAAATATGCTCTAGGTGACCCTGCTTGAGCAGGGAGGTTGGACTAGATGATCTCCAGAGGTCCCTTCCAACCTAAACGATTCTGTGATTCTGTGTAATTATAGACAATCAGCACAGCTTATGAGTATATACGTAATTAAATATAAGAGCAGTCCCACTGAAATTAGTATGAGTAATGTGAATTATGCAATTACTTAACTATTCTGCTGTACTGCTAAAAAATCTTTACTTATAAGTCTCCAAAAACCAAGGAAGTATGAAACTACACTTTTATTTATACTTTTAGCATAGAAAAATCATGATTTTATAGGGAGGTCCGCACGTCAGGTTTTCGCACAGGAATTTTTTTTACCACAAGCATTAAAGAACCTTAAAGCAGAAGTCGACTCTTCTGTAACTTACAGGAGCACTCAAGTCAATGCACTGTGATACATCTGTACTACTTCAGTGAGAACACATAAATTTTCTTAAAGTAAAGGAAATATTGAAAGTTTCTACGATAAATGTACAAAGACAACAAGCCAGCTTTTCCTCCCCCAAGAAAAACTTTGTGTGATTTGATGCTTTAACAAACTTCAGAAGCTGAAGTTGCCACCTGATCAGCATGTCAAAACTCTTGAAAATCTGGATTTGAGGTTGAAGGTATTTTCAGATTTGATTATAGCTTCCTTCCTGTACAAAATTAACATAGATAGAGGCATTTGCCCCCTTATAAGAGTTCCAGTTTGCTTGAGCAAATTATATAGAGTTCTTCACTATGGATAAAAAAAGGAGCAACATGTTCAAGCTCTGGTGATTATACCTGTAAGGTGCACAGACTGGGGATGGACAATAAATGGTTGTTTGCACAGTAACAGTGTCAACCAGTTACTTACATATTGAAGTATTTTCTTCCTAACTGAGCAGGTGAATGAGAAGCAAAGAGATAAGATCTCTGAAAAGTTCAATTATTTGAAAAAGTAACGAAGCTGTAGCTGAAGAGCTCAAGGAGATCAGGCTAAAAGGAGAAAAGGTCCACAAGAGATCAGATTCTCCTAGTTTGGGTAATCATGGATTTGATATTTTGCAAGCCAAATAGGAAAGAATAAAGCAGACCAAAAAAAACACATGTGGAATGGATAAGACGATAGACTGAACGGAGTTTCAAAGAAACGTTGCATAGAATTGATTATACTTTGGCTGGAATAAGAGAGACAAAAGCCAAAAGCACCAGAAGTTAAGGAAGGGCCATGAACAGCGTTATTACTGCCATTAAAACCATTAAAAACATCTGCACTTCACCTGTGTACCGAATCACTGTATGTGAATATTCAGCCTAGGACTATGAGGTTCAAAAATAAAATTGCTGTAATTTCCTAAGTTACTAAATAATGACCTTCCTATTTGCCAAAGATTCATATTTTGCACTGATTCAGGATTACAGCTGTGTTCTGAGTAGACTTAAATAAGTTAACCAGTTCTGTTAGAAGAGCTGAAGCCAAAACTTCTACTTAGCATGAGCTAAAAAGTTCATAATCAAATGTTGATTATCAGCTATTTTAATATTTCAATACAGTTGACAATTGGAAACTAAATAGTTCAGGAATTAGACACCAAAACTTTAATCAACGAAAAATAACAGATTTTTTTACCCTAACGAGTTCTGCACTGCTAACTTCACACATTTTACACTTACTTCATCACTGGGATCTTGCATTGTTTTTTTTCCAGAACTCTGATCAGGTGGCAATTCATTGAGCTCCACATGAAAGAGAAAGAAAATAAAGCCATACAGCGCTGGTCCCAGGCCATTGCACAGTCCTCTTATTCCAGTTATTATTCCTTGGACAACACCTAAAAAAAAAAACAAGAACAGAGGTTTTTTTGATTAATCAAGAACATAATAGAAGTTAACAGTCCACAATTTTTTCTAACGGCTATTTCAAAATATCACATACTGTAATTATTCCTATGTACTAAGATGTTAAAATACTCTGAAGACAATTTTGCTGGATTAAAATAATCCTCTGCATGACGATAATTCTGTCGCTATACCATGCATGCTACTGTCAGCCATTTGAGTTTTGAAATTTCTGATTTAGTTGCAAAGTTAAGTATTCCAAGTATGGCCAAGCCTAATCCTCTCCCCATAACAATTCTTCCACCCTCACCCAATGCCTACAATGAACAAGATAGAGCTTAAATATAGTACTTACCCTGTCTATTCTCAAGTGAAAGCTAGACTATTATGTATTAAACAATGTTACTGGCAAAATATGCCCAAGCCGTAAGTTGGTCTCTCTTCTCCAGTCTAAGCCAGGATTTAAGGCGCCTGTATCAAACAACTTATTTGGGATGGAAAAGCAGTAAATTCATGATACTAGCTTATCAGTTTCAGATTAAAATATTAAAAAAGCTTGATTAATCAAAGTTCTGTAAGTATATTTTTGCTTCAAGCTCATTAAGTGATTGTGATGTCAACGTAAAAAGTACAGCAATTTGATGATCTTAGTCTAAGATGCTACAGGACACTCTTTTTATGATATCAGTAGTCCAAGTAGCCCTTTCCTCCTTGTGCCAGTAACTTGTCAGAAAGATGGATAATTTTTTTTTTGGCTTGTTTGCCATCCAAAATTTTTTCATTGCAGGTTCACCTGTATGCTTAAAACTTTGTCTGCCACTAGGTGGCAAAACTTCACACTAGAAACCACTACATACTTAACTATCAACAACAGTTTTCTTCAGTGTAAAAAGTGTACAACTTCTGTAAATTTGCTCTTTAGTTAAACTATTCATTTCATGACATGAGTAGCCAATGGGTCTTTTCGATGTCTCTACCAGAAACAAGAAATTGAGGGGGAAGGAGATTAAAAAATCATGCAAAACATTGTCTTTTGCACCTTTTGCGCCTTACTCAATAGTAATCTACCTACTAGAACTGTATTTCCTTTCTTTCTTCCATATTAAACTCAATTACCTAACTTCTCACTGTACCTTAAAGCAAGATTGATATTTGACTTATATGTACAGGACTTTAAAATAGAACATTGTAAATTCAGCTACTAGATGTCAACATGTTAAGACTTAGTACTATGAGGACTCCTTCCCACACTCCATATCAAAATAAGACAGTATTTTTAATGTTTATTCTCCTTCAAAGACAATTACATGCCATTTCTTCTTCATGGCGTTTTCCTATTTGCTCAGATCAACTATTTACTTACGTTCCCTTTTCCATTCCTTGAAATCTTGAAGTATTATAGCACACAGGGCCATCTTTCCCCACACAGAACAGAGCATCTTCTTGTGAATATGTGGCTTATTTTAATCTAGTAAGCTATTTTTTTAGTTTGCATTAAAAGATGCTACTGGTATATTAATACTGGTTATCTACTTACAAAATATTGCTTCTAGTAAAAAGAGGAAGGAAAGAGCATGAAAGTTACCTCATTTTCTCATCATTTATGGTCACAGTATTTTCAAGAGGAAACCAGAAGAGGAGCAACTTGTCCGATAAAAGCTATGCATTTTGCAATGCAAATCTGACAGATGTGCGCACCTCCTTTCTACATATATTGGTAGACTTCCACAGCTAGTACCACAGAAACTCCTTACTCATCAGCCTATTTGAGAGGTATGACTAGGTAAGTATTCTGCTTTCTAGACAGAAGAGTCATCCAGGAAAGCTTTCTTTGATGCTGAAACATGAGCTCACGTAATACTCACCTTGTTGATCTGATTCTGCATTCCGTGAAACCAGAGCACTGATTGCTGGGAATGTAATGCTTGACATTGCAGCTACAGCTCCTGCTGCCCACATCATCCTGTTTTAAATACATAATTTGAATTAGAAAATAGAATGCCCATAATTCCCCTTACCTTTCCTTCCCCCACCTCAAAAAGGCCACAAGGTTACCCTCGTTTAGGGGTTAATCCTCTTTCAAAAGTACTCTTAATAAAATAACTAAAGGCCAGCAACTATCTGGTCAGGGCCTTCCTCTGGCTCCTTTTTCCAACTTACTCTTGTAAAAAGCTTGTTGAAACAAAACCTTTTGATTCTACACTAGCTATTAAGGTACGGGAAAAGGGAGCGTGAATGAAATGCTGCACTGGCTTGCCCTCTGCAAAGACTGTAACCAGAAGAACAGTTTCAGAGCATCTCCTGGTGAAGCAGCTCTAGTTTGTAAAACACCCTAGGAAGCACTCTGATGAAGAATACACATTCATCACTGAGTCATAGGACAATTTTTTTTTTTTTTGTGTTAAAGGGGAAAACCTGTTTCAGCTTCCTGTTTTAGTTCACTCTGCTTCCGAAAAAGAAGCTTGCATAATTTCCAAGATCAAAAATAGTTATAGTAGGAGAATGACAAGGCAGAAATAAAAACAAAAGTCCTGCAACTGATTGATAGAATGAATCTAATGGAATTACTGGAGAGAACATGCTACTTATCAGTTTGTGAATTTAAAAAAGTTTGAAAATGCTGTAGTAAGATATAAAATAGGTCAGTACTAAAATGATGCAAAGATTCCTTTTTCAAAAGAGCTGCTACTCTACAACTTACGCTACACACCTGGAAAGCTCCATCATTCTTAGATTTGTGAAATCCAGACCAAACATCTGCAGCATAACGCAGATCAGAATATTTTATGCACAGAAGATAAATCTCATGATGACAAAAATAAAATGGTAGGATTTCTTGGAAAAAAATCAGTTACATAACACGTACACGTAAGTGAAAACGCACTTACCAAGACTGAGATCCAAAACCATACCAAGCCAACTGAAGGATCTGAAAACCAAGGCCAAGAAGAACCGTGTTTTTGTTCCCTATTGACCTCATCAAGACACTCAGAAACACAGTCTGCAAGAGAAATCAATTCATCCAAAAGTTATTTTAAACTAATTTCTCCTTCCACACAAAATAATTCATAAGACCTAACTGCTGAGGAAAGTCACGCTACTCATGCTATCACTTTTCGTGTATTAAAACTAAAACGCAGACAATCAGTCACAGCAACATTTGATGTACAGATATTGTTAACTATTAAAGGGTTTCTGCTTCTGCTTAAGGACTTTAGAAGTGTTACGTATTGCCTTCTGCGTACATTACAGTAGAAACAGATGCTAAGGATAAACAGGATTCTGCTTCCATCCCTACAATTTATTTTCTCACAGAATAGAAAGTTCCACAATAAAAGCTGGTCTTAAGACAGTACAGACTGAATTTAGGAGTACATACAAATTCTAGAGGAAAAAAGTTATGTCAAGCTTTTTTTTGATGAGGGGGAGGGGGGTGTTGGGGGGGAGGTGAATTACTACCCATATTTACAATTAAAAACAAAGAACAAACCCTGCTGCTTCCATTCCTTTACAACATGCAAAATTAGGCCAAGACCTTTCCCTATGCAACTTTCATTATCTATTCTACTTACTCTTTATACCAGTCATTTGACCCTTTTAGTTGCATGTGGAAATAAATCCTGAATGAAGACCAGTTTTTCATTTGTTAGGAGTGAAGTTACTACTGAAGGGGAAGGAAGTCCCAGTTCAGGTAGAACAGCAATAGCCCCACGGCAACAGGCAGACAGTTCCCAATAAGGCAAAGTCCAGACAGCCTCAGAGTTAACAGCACACACTTTTTTCTTTAATGTAAGAACCTTATTAAAAGCCAGGGAAATGGCATAAGAATGACTGCAGAGAAAGCACGCTTCCTCTCACATTCATCTTACCGATCTTAGTTTTCTTGTGTGTTCTCATGCTTAGTTTGTCTCGGGTAAAAAAAAAGCTACATAAAATAATTCTATCTACATGTGAATCAATCGCCTCTAAGTAGATCCATACACCAACTTGCAAATCAGTATTTATTAAGCAAGATTTATTTCAATAATTTGCACTCAGAGTTCAAAAAAAATCAACAGAGAGTTTCTGCATTTTAATATTAAAAATCATGAAGCAGTATGTCAACCTTTGCACAGATTTATAGCAAAAGTATTGAGATTGGTCTGAGTAAAGTACAACTGGAAAATGTAAGCACACATAAAAGCATCAGAAGAAACAGCACAAGGATTAAAAGAACAGCTTGTATTGATAATTAAGGATACAACTGACACCAACAAAACTGGTCAACACTGAGGAACATGTTTACATCAAAACAGTAAGACCTCCATTCTGCTTATAGGAGGATGGTAACAAGGTTACAACACCCTGCACGTATCATTCCTCTTCCTTTTATCACAACAGGAAGACAAACTGTAGCCAGCAAGATACCTAAACACCCAACAGACAAAGATTCGAGGATGAAGCAAAATACCACGCTATAAGGACTGTCTGACTCCTAAAAGGAGGAGAAGACCTATTCAAAAATCAGCTCACTGTTGCCAATAAAGAGGAACAAAAACAATATACCAACATCTCAGAAGTCCCTCAATCTCCATGCTGAGCCTAAGCAGCCTTGGCTAGACCACTGGGATTCAGGCGTTTATACGAGTTTGATAGCATAAGCTATGAAATCTATGAGCATTGGTGCAAGTAAACAAAATTCACCTTCCCCTTCCGGAAGGCTTTTTGCACTGAATATTGTTAAACTAATCTCCTACACCATAGTAATCATTTGAAGTCACAGCTTTCAGTACATTTACTGATCCAGGTTTGGTGAATTTTGGTTGCATTTGCTAATGCCTAAGGACCAGTACTCCTGAGGAAAATCTACCTAAAGGGAGAAGGATTTACTCAGAGAATCTGTATGAATATAATCTTTAGTGAATGCAAGATCTATAGGTGTTTCAGAGCATGTAAAAAAGTTTACAGACAAGTTTAATACTCAGAAGTGTCTCAGCATCCAATTTTGTACTGCTTAATAAAAAGATAAAAAAAATAAAGCTTACCTGAGCTATTATAGACAGAATTCCTACCACAGCTATAAACGCTGCAATACTAACAGATCCAAAACCTATAACCTGAACAGAAACAGGAAATGCATCAAACAAACGCTAAACAGTCTAGGAAAAGCACTAGCAAAAAGACTTCTCCTTAAAAGAAAATATTGATTTCTGCTTGTAATCTAAATTATTTTCAAACATATGAATACTTCCATTAACTTTATTGCTTGCCAAGGAATCCATAGAAGAAAAAAATTGCCCACACCCCCCCCCCAGAAGAAAAACAAGACAGACACAGATCAAGCCACTAATGGAAATTAAAGTTCTCTACCCCTCCCACAGACACAACAGTAGCTCTTCAACAGGCAAGATCCCATTTTGAGATGTATAAACTACTACACTGAATGGGAACAAAGGTCTGCTTCGCTCATTAACACATGCTTAAGCTATGGCAGGCTTTATGCTTCCCTAGTCACATTTCCAGCTTCATTCAGTTCTTGACGCAGGGAAGGATCTTGTATTTTATTTTTCAAAGCTATATTTTGCCACATTGCAGTTTTCCAAGAGTAGTCCTTCAACAAGAAACAGGTCTCGGGGAACCTCTACTTAAACAATACTATCAAGATAAGAAACGACCAACACTTACCTGTCGCAAATATAGAAAAAAGCTAGAATATTGGCCAGCCTCAGGCAGATAGGAGAGAAACACTGTAATACAGATCGGGAGAACTGTAGAATCTTTTCTAACCTTCTTTAGAGACTGAAAGACAAAGAAGTAAAACAAATATTAAAATATGAATACAAAGTCTAATGAAAGCATGAAGAAAGCAGAAGTTGGATTCAATTTCTTTTTATCCGCTTTTACCCACATATACTAGCCAAATACTGAGAAAATAAAGTTGTACAAGGAAATAGGTAAGTTAAACATTAAGTTAAAACAGCCATTTGCTCCACAGTTCCTGATATCTGAACCTTCTGGTAAGTTTTTCATTAATTTTTGAAGCCACAGTCGGGTGTCAAATTTCACGTATTTGCTGTAAGCAGCATTATATAATATGTACGGAAATACACAGCATCTGACTCATCTCCCTAATAGTCCGTTCTGAATGATGCTAGCAAACATTATAACCTCATTAACACTCTGTACATTCCTGTGGCCAAGTCATAAAGGTATCTTTCCAGTTTGCGTAAAAAATAAATCGTAGAAAACAAATTTAACAGTAATCTTTCAAGTGCGTCTCAACATTCACAACAATTCCCAGCAGGACGATCTGACTAAGGAACAATGCATTCTCCTCTCTTCACATACCAGTGTGTAATACATAAACACAAATAAAGTTTCTGCTTTCTCTCTATGAAAGCAGAAAGCATAACATTTATACAGAAAGTCTTCTAGCATCAGTTGTTGGGGCTGCAGCAGCAGCATTAGAATTCAGCATTTCTCTTACCGTAACAGAGAGAGTAGGTTAGAAGAGTAAAGCGTTTCCCTTTGGATTTCACAACAGAACTTGTTTCCAATATAAAGAACATTTAATCCAAACTACTTTATTATTATTTAGCTGGGTCTTTTTGTGCAAGAGCAGAGATTATGGCATATTGACTCGTCAAGTTATCAATTAAACATTTATGAAAAACAATTATTTAAATATTTATGGAAGTGCATCTTACCGCAAAAGGGTCTGCTTGTTCCCATGATATAGAAGCTCCCCATGAAGCAGGCCTCATTTTTTCAGGTAGAGATTCTGGTACAACTAACAGGATAAAACAGATGTCCACAACAGCCACCACTGTGGCCACTAGCACAACAAGATTATCTCCATAGCTGGCAGACAGGTACGCTCCAATGGCAGGACTAGTTACCAAACTCGCTGCAAAGGTGGCAGATACCTACGCACAAGAATAGTTCGCAAATCGGTTACTCTGTCATTGCATGGCAATGGACTGACTTGCTAATAAGAAGTCCAGCATTCAAATTCAAACTACTTTCAGTCCAAAGTCATATGCCTGGAAATTTTCCATGCCTGGAAATATGGGTCCAAATAAAAAATTTCTCCACCCTCCTACACACAAGATAGATAGAATTGCGGCCAAAGATTGAAAACTGAATTTGGCTGAATCAAAGGAAAACAGCTCTTACAAAAACTGCTTAGTCCAAATGAAAGTTTTCCAATTATGAAGCTGACAAAATTTGATTGAAAAAAGTTGTCAGCATATTTAAATGCTTGTCTAAATGAACTTGAGTCTCAGAACTCTGGGGTGAATAGAGTAATAGATAATGTGTTCGTCAGTATTTTGAATTATAAATACATATGGCTACCACCGTACTGGACAGCACAGCAAATTAGGAGATCATTAACTACGACAAGAAGTTCAATAACCACTGTACTGCTTCGTATTACAGTGTAAGGACACACAGCTACTAATAAATCACTTACACTGACACACACAGTCTGAAAAGTGAGGTGTTGTTTAGTTTCACTATAGAAATCAGAAAGAGTTGGAAAAAGCTAGATTTTAAACAATTACCACTTTTCTTCATACCAAAATAAAAATCCTCTGCATGACTATTCTGTAGAATAAGTAATAACTCAAGCTAGAAGGTTAGTTTTATACCTACCTAGAAAAACCTTAAGAAAAAGGTGGTATAACAGATGAACTGATTAGAACAGGGGAACAATTCTCAGGGGAACAATTGCATGTTAGGATCTTTGGCTTTATAGATTTTTAGGGAAAAAAAGGGAAGGGGTGCAAAAAACCCTAGAAAATTCCACACTGCGTCATTGTTTAAAGGCAGGTGAACGGATCCTCCAGTTATTCTTACGGCCCTTTACAGGCAGGAGAAATAAAATGGAAGTTCCAGAACTTTAAAATTTTGTGCTCTGCTACAAACCACACATAAGCTTGGTGCAAGAGAACTAAGTCCTTTATTAACTTAAATTTTGTGCTCTGCTACAAACCACACAAGCTTGGTGCAAGAGAACTAAGTCCTTTATTAACTGTTAAATCAACATTTGAGAATCATTCATTCCTAAGGTTTTCCATTATTTTCAGATTAGCCCTTAACAGCTCAGAGGATAACAGAATACTGTACAGTCCGTCAAGAATCAAGTTCATGAAAAATTACATAATAAAAAAATGCACAGAAGATGAAGGGATAAATAAAGTTGAAAGGTTAAAGGCATCTACCAATCAGCCTCTGCTTGCACAAAACCGAAACCAACATAGATACCCACAAAAGCAAGCTAGGCAGAAATATTTTTGGAAAAGTTGGTTTGTACAAACTAAACTTTTCTTCTCCCCTTGCAAAGTAAGAAAGGTAATGAATAAGTTAATAGAAAAAGACTGCATTAAAAAAAAAAAAAGACTTTCCCCCTTCCTCCCTATCTGTAACTACAGAAAAGCCATTGTATATAGTTCTACTCTATAATAAAAAGTCATATATAACCAAAAGTGCAAATCAAGGTGGAGGAGACAGATGGCCAAACCAGCATTAAATAACTTGCGCTGCCATCAAAACTACTGCTTATTTTGACTGCAAAGTCTAGAACATGTTTTGCTAAACATGCCCTAGATGCAGGCAGAGTAGTCAAACTCTGATTATACTTTCCCATGAGCCCAGAGCAGTCTATGCAGCAACAGAAAATCTGAACTAGACCTCCCAAATTTCTAACACAATGCCTTGATCCATGGCTCATTCCTTTCTCTAACAGCTTTGTTACATGTATTGGGAAACAATCTGTATATTAAAACATAAGTTCAATACAATGGGTCGCTATTTGACCTTTTCTCAAATTTAAGTATAGTATATCTTACCCGTCCATAGGCTGTAATTCTTTCGTGTTCTTGTGTTACATCAGCTACATAGGCAAATATTACAGAAAAGGTAACAGAAAAGATTCCAGACACTGAAATCATAGCGAAGTACCACCTAATGATTTAAAAGCAACAATTAGAAAATTTAAGCTGAGAAAGACCTCTAGTTCTCCTGCTAACCAAGTAAGTTTGTGTTTAGCCTATGAAAACAGCTTATTTAGAACTAGCTAAAGCTCTACAGAAGATGAATAAAAAAGTCCAGCATTGTGTAGTCTCGCCTACATCCTGGAAATCACTTTGATTTTTGATACTCTAGTGTTTACTTTACATTAATGTGAAAGGAGAAGCGGCCTCTTAAGGACCTAACTATGGATTTTCACACTGTCAAAGCTGAAGCAAGTTGACGTTGAGAGAAGAATCGTCTTAGGACTCAGTTCAGAAACTACTCTAGGGCCATTTATCAATCTTTTAAAGAATAAACTATCATATTAATGCTTCAGAAGCTGAACTCTGAATGCACTCAGCGTACACAGAATTCTTGTGTTGTCTTCTTAAGTTTCACATCCAAAGGAAATGAAAGTGAAACCAAGTCAATTCCCGTCAGTTAAGTTTTCAAAGTTTCATAATCAAAATGTTAAACGTGGTCAAATAAATTGAAGATTCATTCATCTTCTAAGAATACGTTTATTACAGCATCTTATGAGGCCTCCGAGAAAGTCACAGTTGTGCTTATACCTACAAATTAGACATTGCTATCAAATCATTTCAGCTACTGCCTTCCACAATAAATACTTTCAAGACCAATAATTTTAACACCCCTTGAACAAAAAAGCTCCAGAATAATGTAATTGCATCTTAAAAGGAAAATGGTTCTTTCTCTTGCCTTATTATCTGTCTCCCACTTTCCCAAACTACTCCTCCTGTAACTGAATTTCCTGCTATACTGACAACTTCCTTACTGCAGACTGTACCACTTACCATGGACTTATTCTCATTAATGGAATTGGGGCACAAGTGAAGAAAACGGTGAGGAGAAGAAAAGATTTTCTTCCCCATGCATCTGACAGAGCACCTATTAGTGGAGCACTGAGAAAGGACAAAAAACCCTGTGACACAAGAAAACAAAATTAATGTATTAATTTTCATTTCCAAGCTTCACTTTAACTGCAACATAAAGAAACTGATTATGAGAAAACTTACAAAAAGTTAATGTAAACTGCACACAATTTCTTCCATAGTCTACTTTTCTCTGTGATTTAGATTGTTTTAATTGATTAATCCTGAATCAATTTAGAAAAAGGGGGGGGGGGGGGAGAGAAATTTTTCAACTTCAATTTGATTCAATACAGAAGTATCACAGATGGCAGAAGCTTCTTTAAAATACTCAAAACCTACAGCCAAGTTGCACAGAGGACAGCTTCTTAGCTTTTTTAAAAGGCTTCTCAGTGCTGGGTTCCAAATCCAAAATTCCCCTGTAACTTAAATAAGATTGTCTTAAGACAGGGTTCCAGATAAGTTAACCGTACTCTGAAATAAATAAAACAGAAGAACTATGAAAACTGAATTACGTTTACTGCTACACACTGTACTTTTATCACATACCAGACATTTGTACACTGCAACAACTACGAAGACCACTCGAGCTCAGAACCTGAGACAGCAATACACCATACTACTGATGGACAAAACACAGACCTACAGATACAGTGTGCATGGATAAAGCGTTTGAGAATCAAATAAGATTTTTCAAGCTATGAAATATTATCTAAGTATCTCTACCTAGAGATCATATAGTAAGTCCAATGGAATATACAACATACTTGCAAGTAGCACATTCTCTCCATGGCATTAACCGTGAGATTATTACACCTAGGTAACAAAACATTTCATAAAGTCCTAGAACCTAGGACTCATTTCTGCTCTGTATTACAGTGAAGAATTAAAAAAAGAGGCCTTTCACTGATCTGTGAGCTCTGCAAAAACCTCCAGAAGAGACAAACCTACCTCCTAATTTGTACAGTGTTCTCACATCAATCCAGATCTACCATAAATCCAAACACTAGTAAAAACATGGTTCTACAAGTACCTAAGGAACCGACGTACACTGGAGTCTACTCCACCTAATTTTAGCTAGCCTCTAATGTTTCAATATAATCATCTTCCAGTTTGACATCTGCATACAGGCTAATGTACTAAAGTAGCATTATGCCAAATCCCAATAGCAAGGATTCCAAAGATTTCAGGAAAGTAAATTGAGAGCAAAAGCTGTAAAGCCACCAGATCCTAGGAAAGTTAGATGCCTTACTCAGTTGAAATTAATATTTTTTACTCCTTATAGTCAAAATTAACTAGCATATAGACTAACATGTTTTGCTAACTGGCACCCAAAATAGTTTTAATGTTTCACTAACAGCATTTTGAAGAATATCACATTGGATACAAATGCTCACTCTGATCTATCCCCCTCTGTTTATTACACCTGTCAGAGCAATGCATACGCTTACAGCAAAAGTTTAATACACTTTTCTATGGATACACTCTCTAGAAAATACAAGGAGAATACTACACTCTGATTTTAAACAATACTCACAATAGTTACACTGCACCATGAATGAGAGAAAGCAATAGAAGAAACATAAGCTTAGTTTTGCTAAGTGAAAAATGCAAAGCTAACTTCCTCTTCTAGTTTGAGATGCCCTAGATCCCTGCTGCATGGCGTCTTCTGAAACACAGTCACTACAAAAGATACCAAGCTAGCAATTCCCTGCTAAAGTTGTTGTCTTCCTTATAGCTACAATTGTTACAACCTGTTACAGAATACATAGCTAAATAATTTCTTGGCTGCTGTAAATTAATACTTGGTGATAGGGTACACTTTGGGCTTTGAAGTCTCTGGGTAGGATGGTTAGCAAAGACAATGCTTCCTGAAACTTTACTAGAGAAAATTTTTGCAAGCATTTTGTTTTCCTGGCAACAATCTAGCATGGCCTCTGTCTAAACTCCAACCTATCATAAGCCATAAGTTCCTGTAAACATCCTGGCCGCCTCAGTGTTCAAAAAGCTCATAAAAGACCAGGAGAAAAATGCAGTAATATAAGTAGCTTTTATGCCACCTCTTAGACAGAATTATAATGGTTTCAGTGCTCCGTTTCGTATCTCAATGGCATCAACATGGCTGTATTAATCTGCTTTTGATATATATATCATCTAACATTAAAAAGCAGGCACACTCCTGCCATTCTTAGAGGGATCCTTATCAAGATTACAATAATGAACTGTCATCTATTCAAACTAGAGGTATTTAAGCTTCTAAGAAAGATTTCACTTGTTTCAAGATGCTACCATTTAACTGTAAATCTTGAATTGGGCCCAAGAACATGCAACCATCACAACAAGAGAAATGGTTTGAGAACTTATTACATTCTCAATGTCCAAAATACTCTTATGGAGAATGAAGGAAAGACTAATTACATTACAGGAACAACTACACAGAACATTTAGCTCAGTGTTTCTAAGCAATCTTACCTTAACACCTTGAATGAGACCATTCATTAAAAACGTATGATGGGAAAATGTTTCATGCAAGACCTGAAAAAAAAAAGTGTTTGAATCAGGAGAGACAGGAGAAAAATCAATTCAAGGTTTAGATGTTGATATGTAAAACAGGATAGCTCAACTGGGACCTACTAAAAAGATATCTTATCCCATGATTATACTTATTAAAATTTTTTATCACAAAATATTGACAAGCTTTAACATCGATTTACCAGTATAAATGCTTCTGCGCACAGATGTGGCAAACGAACAGATATTTTGGTTTAGGATATTTTGCTCAAAAGGAGGATTAACATAAGAAAAACTGTCCATATCATACAAATCACAAATTGTGCAGTAGCTAATTCATAGATAACTCCTTCATATGGTTGACTCTACCAGTGTTACTAAGGAGTGAAAATCAAGTTCAAGTAAGGAGGTCTGTCAAAAAAAGTAAAATCAAAGAACTTCCCCCCACACCCAGAAAAAACTCATACTATATTCTCATTTGCCCAAAAAGGTTCTGTACAAACTGTTTCTGAATTGTTTGCATCCATACGCTCCACCTCTTCCCATCCCCCTCCATGTTACATATTACAATCTCCTCTTAAGAGAATTATCACAACCCCAAATCAGACTTACAGATGGGGAAGAGGAAAAAGGAAAAGTACAGCAGCCAACTTACTGTTATCAGCACAAACTGCAGTTTTTCAATGATCACACAGTTCGAAACAGTTTGGATGAACAATTAAACACTTATGAATGCTAGCAACAGCTCTGAATGGTTAATACATTCTTTAAGTAATGCCATGAATTTATTTAAGGGGCTTTAACGGTAACAAGCTCTCTCCTGAATTAAGGCTAATCTATACTAAAGAGATCGGCCATAAAGGTAGAAGAGAGTTAAAAGGCCTTACAGGTAGTAATATATCAATTAAAAAAGAGATATTGCAATAATCAAAGTATATATACACACACTTTTCAAAGATCAATGCTAGGTAAGCAAAGCCTACATAAACTAGCATCTATTCAAGCTCTTAAAAGATGATTTCTACTTTTATCTGTGAATAGAAGTGGCAACATCTACAAAAATTATGTGTATATTAAGAAATTCACGAGCCTGAAGAAAAGACTTTATGAGCATCATTTTTCCAGGAATGGGTGAGATTGTCAAACCACAGGTTTAAAAAAAAAAATACTGCTCAGATAATTCTGCTTATATACACCCCTCTTCCTACTAATATTTCCACCTGTTTACATATTTAAACCAATTCTGCACCTATTTGGTCAATCTTCTGATGTGAGTGGTAGAAGATAAAAAAAGAATCAAGTTAGAGATCAATACACAGCCTCTCTAGAAAGCAGATAATGCCTTGCAAGTCTTCGCAAAAAAAGGAAGCAGGAAGCTCAAGTCTATCTTTCTGTAAAGTGTTTTCCAGTATTTTTGCTAGAAGGTAACCAGCATTGACACACGTTCGACCTTTTGAAAGTAATTTTCTTTTACTTTATAGACAAAATAAATGCAAATGAACAAACTGATAGAGAGAATTGCCTTACTTTAGAATCAAGTACTTGATATTAGATATTTACCTATTTACAAAAATATATTATATTGTAGACATTAAGTGACTAACATCACTTACATTATTTCACTAATATTTGTTTACAAGCCCATAAATAAGAGTAATGAGCATGAACTTTGGGCATTCTGTGAGCAATATGTCCTTTGTTTATGTTTTATAAAGACACCAAATCTTTTCTTATCTAAGTATACTATGACACAATAAGCACTACAGCTTCTTTGACAAACAGATGCCAAAAAAGCTGAAGAGAAACCTAAACAATTAACTTCAAATAATCTCAGCTATTAGGAACTGCATTCAATTTATTTTCAAAATGGACAACACATTTTAATCTGTGTATTGACCATGACCTGGAGCATCAGAACACAACCACCAAAAACTGAGTGATCAGGAATTTTGATTAGCAGATCAAACATTTCCATCTCCACCGTTTTCTCGCTACTAGACAAAACAGTTTCAACAGAACCGGGCTGCTGGCAGTTCAAAGGCTAGACCTGGCTCACAAGAAGGCTCTTCATGACCCCTAGTGCTGCTGGCTGATTAGCAGCCCAACCTCAGTTATCACGTAACGAAGGCGAGAGTTGTCAGTTCATATCAAATCAGATTTAAAATAGTTTAAAACAATCACCTATGTTCTGAAGAGCTGGTTACATATAAAAATGAGTCACAAGCATATAGAAATCATCTATGCCTGCTAGACAGGTTACACCACTATATTTAAGTCAGCGCTTTACATTTACTTTGCAAGCAAATGCAACAGCCTCGTTAGTTTTCAAAACTGTGTAGAAATACAACATTCAAAATAGAGAAAGACATTCAAGACCACCACTTTTATTTCTGCAAGCATAAAATCCAAATACTTAAGTCAAAATAATAATTTTCCTTTAAGCTAGAGGCATTTCATAAAACTCCCATTAGATACAGTGCACTGAGAAATATTAATTCCAAGAATTACAATTTGAGCTGCATGTAACTGACTATACGAATTTATATGGAACTTTTTAAATTGGAGTACAGCACTAAAGAAGATACCCACCTAACATAAAATGTAGTTTCACTACAAAGTTTTTGAAGACTGTGGAAGAATTACTGTCAGAACATCATCCCCCTAAATGAGAGGTGCCAAGCTAGTACAACCTGAAGTTGAGCACTCTAATTCAAAAAATAAACAGAACACCCAGTAAGCTTCCTCATACTTTCACGTTGGCAAGACAAGACAGGACAGGACAGCAATCTAGTGAGATCTCTACGGAAATCTGCTAACTGTCTATATACACTATTATTAGACTATGTTAAAAAGATCACCATAAATCTATCTTTAGAAAGATTGCTTTTAAAAGGTCCACAAAGGAGGTTAGGAGAAAATGAATTATGGAATGAGATGGGGGTTGTGGAGGTTATAGCAAAAATAGAATGAAAAGTGGAACCATGGGATCTCACATGGGGGTAGGTCCGAGAACCTACAGACTGATTTAGTGAGAATTGTTAACATATTTGTGCTTATTGCACAGATTCTCTTGTAGAATCACAGAATCACAGAAACACAGAATGGTTTAGGTTGGAAGGGCCCTCTGGAGATCATCTAGTCCAACCTCCCTGCTCAAGCAGGGTCACCTAGAGCATATTGCCCAGGATCACATCCAGACGGCTTTTGAATATCTCCAGGGAAGGAGACTCCACCACCTCTCTGGGCAACCTGTTCCAATGCTCTGTCACCCTCACAGTGAAGAAGTTTTTTCTCAGGTTCAGATGGAACTTCCTGTGGTTCAGTTTCTTCAAATGAAAGGCTTCATATCCTACTACTAAACACTCAAATTATCTATTCATCTGGAAAATACCTGCAATCCAGAATAGATTAAATACTCGCAAAACCCGTTTCTTACATGAAAGCCTTTATATTTTATTTCCAAGTCATATGCTGACACAACAACCAGCCCATACTAGAGTTCAAAGTTGATTATGGAAAGTGTGGATTATTCAGTGGTTAAGTGGCAGATGAATTGAACTATGAAATCTTAAGAGACTTCTACAGAGATTCTTATACACAGTTACTCTAAAAGGTGAATAAGAGTTACTTAAAATATAGTAATGTATTTCAGACTATCTTTTAGTCTTCCAGCAGTCCAGATCTCCGCCTCAGAATGATACCATTCTACAGTAGCCAACGCTGAAACTCCTGAATTTCAGAGTTCCACAGAAAATGTAAAACAAAAAAACTATTATTTCTAGTAAGTAACAAATTAACTTTTGTCATTACTTTAAAATAGATCAGCGGTACTTACCGTTAGCATTGGAGTTGTCAACAGTCCCCAGGCAAAGAATTCGAGAAATATGACCACCACTGCATGGTATACGCTTGGCCGACCAATACCTTGCTGTTAAAAGAGAAAAACATTTGCAGTGCCTGTACACATCCAGTTCATTACATGTGCAAAGCTAGCTTATAAACATATTTTGAGAATATAATTAGCTTTCAAGATGATCTGCTGCCAAGCCCTTGGGAACAATAAGCTAAACAAGGGTGGAGAAGAATTATTATAATATGACTAAAGATCTCCAAGGAACTTCAGAAAGATTGTTCCTTCAACCTCTTGCTGACTGAAGAGAACTATCTTCCCCATTCCTGACATTGCCCTACACTTCTCTCCCCTCCAGTTTTTATGCAAGCGCCCTTCCCTTCGAGCAACTCCCACCCCTCTGCAGTAGGGCTACAAGCTGTGCAACTCTCCCTGCTACCTCCATAAGTTTCAAACCAGTAGCAATGAAATAGACCAGTTTTATGAAGACTATGTCACTATTAAATGAAACTATCACAACATGCATAATCAGAAGCGCAGGAGCGTAGAGTTTTGTATCTGAAACTGTCAAGGCGCGGGAGGGAGAACTGGCAACTTATGCACTCCATAAAGCTTTCTGTTGACTGCTGACCAATTAATTCTGTACTTCTTTGTGCTTGCAGACTACAGATCCAGGAGCTATTCTGCTAGTCGATATATAGCTCCTAGGAAGAATTAGCATGGAAACGCTTGTGCTGCTGTGAACACACAGCCAATGTAACACCCAAGGACTGGATCCTACTTGAGAGATCTGGGAGTATCTTCTAAATGAACCAAAAAAAACCCTTGAGTAAAGCAGAACTAACTAGAAAAGTTGCTTTCTCTCATTTCTGTCCCTCTCTAACCATAGTAACTGTTTTACTGAGCTTAAGTTCTAAAATGATTTTCCCTTTTCATTAACATTAACCCTGTAGAAAATTAATTTTTCAAGGTTTCTAGCCAGTCTAACACCATTCCACTCCCATGAGATCAATAATTCTTAGAAAGGAATAGCAGAGTGCTCTCATCTAGCACTCCCATAAAAATCTCAAGTTTACCCAATATATGAAAGGATGCTTCTCTTGCAAATTGCACAATCTAACAATGCTGGATGCAGTTCAAGAGACATCATCTAGTGACACATATCAGCCAGATTATCTCATTTGGGCAGCTGGAGAATAAGGAATGCACGAACCTCAGGATCTCCCATTAAACCTGAAAAAGTTACAGCCCCTACTACAAAGGCAGAGCACAATCATGCACTTACTGTTTCTCCTGTCTGGTACCTTTCATCTGGATTAGTAGGAATGACAGGATTAGAAAGTACTTCTAACAAAATTCACTTAAGCCTGCTACCTATATTAAAGATTTTTAAAGAAATTCCTTCTGCCAAGACAGTCTAAGTACCTACTTCTCTGATAATTTTAAATAATTTCAGTCTGTAGCAGCAAACTAAAGCTACCGCAGACAATGCTTTTCCAACTGGTAAGAATTTTCTGCATCATAGCTTAAATAAAAGCTACAATTTTCAGGAAAACAGTTCCCTCTCCAGGGAAACAATATGATAATATCCTAGATCAAAGATAATTGTTGACATTGATAACTTTCAAGCAGTATCAACATTTCTTCCACATGTTACCATGTCACCAGTTTTTAATCTCAAAATACCAAAGTTTCCAAAGTTTATGTATAAGACGTTATTTATATAAAAAGTCTACAAAGTACTTCTGGATAATCTAACAGGATAATAATTTTAAGAGTATTTTTTGCCAAGATATCTGTCACTAAAGATACTGTTTGAGACAGATTACGCTTCAGTTTGAAGAAACTTTCCCACCATGCTCCCTTCAGGAAAAGGCAAACTCTACTGTAGAGAGCAGTGAAGGACTCCCCAGCCTTCCTCCTGCCTCTACTTTACTTTCCCCCGCCTCTACATCAGCAAGCGTGATGCTGGACCATAAACAACACTGTTTTGCATTCAGTACACACTTCCAATGCCCTAAATATTAGGTTTTGTGTGTTTTTTTGTTAGTACCAGGCTTGCAGTATAACAAAACTGAAACTTTTTATTATATAGAGACTTCTTCTGAGACTTATGTGGTTGACCAGAAAGAAGTGCACCCCATATTCAAAAATATTCGCCTGTTCTTAAGCAGTCATTTAAATCCTTTTATGAAAGGAACGACATTTTGTTGTACTGATCTTAAAGGAACATTTCTTGGAGATGAAAAGAAATTTTTGGCAGCGTCACCTTTAGGCAGTGTCATGCAGCTTCCAAATAGTTGTATTGAACTATAAAAAAAACACAAATATCTCTATAGCTTTTTGGAGTCAATAACCTGGAAAATTAGGATTTAAATCCTGAAAGGAATATGCACCTGTCAAAACGAAGTCATGCATTCCAAATCAGACCTACAGTTTGATTTGAGATAGACCAATATCTAGGATTTGCATAGACTGTAACTGATAATTTTGAGTTTTCTTTATAAGCCTTAGCCATCTAGACTATCTGCAGAACACTCATGCAAGGGACTATCAGGTAACTGCAATCATGAAAACAGGAAAATTCACTGACTTTGCTAACAGTCTGATGCAGATACCTATCTCTGGTTATCTATTTTTCGTGTAGGCCCTAAAAACTCTCCTCCCAAAAGGTTTTTTTTTTTTTTTTTTTTTTTTTTAAATCCATGTCAAGATATTTGAAAGGAAGTTTAGAATTGAACAGGTACGCAACCAAGACCATTAATTAAAATAGACAAAAATTTCTCTACTGGGTTAAAAAACAAAGAGCTTCAGAAGGAGTTTCCTAAAAGCACTTCTCTTGCCATAGCCTTTTAAGACTCTACTCCAGAAAAGGTTGGTGGGGTCAGTTTCCATATTGAGAAAATATTTTGCAGCACAAGACAACTGTATGCAATTTGCATAAAGAGAGAACTTGAGACTTACACATGTAAAGTGGGCAACAATTTGAAGTACAAAGTTTTAGAATTCTTGAACATTCTTGAACTAGCAGATACGGGGACAAATTAAATCTTTTTAAACACAAAGAAACTTAAATAGAAGTAGCAGGGATCTGGTTAATTTACAAATTGCTTTCCTTCCCTCCCTCTGCACTCCCTTAGATTTTAAAACTTTGCTGGGGCCATTCCATTTCTAACGCATCAATGCTTTAAAATTTGTTAGGGGATTATTTTTCATCCGTGCAGATTTTCATAAAATTGCCTCGTGTGTGGGCTGAGAAATTATGTCTGAGCATCATAATCACTTTCATATGCAGCTGTTGGTCAAACTATTACGCCTGCATCAATAACGAGCAAAACATTACACAATCTCAAGTGCTTAACAATAAAAGTTTAAGCCATCACTACGAAACAAAAAGTACCAGATGTCATGCAACTACTAAGAAAATATCAGTAATTTCTCCAATTTTACAATGCTTTGACCCCTAAGCTTCTTTTCCTCCCACACCCAATTCTAAAAAATTGGATAGAAACCCTTCAGATTAATTTGAAGACAACAGCAAAAACACTGGGACACAAAAAACTTTCTTTTAAAATCAGAACACAGCTGTTGAACATGAACCCATTAGAAGATACCAGGATTATAAATCCAGATGGTGAGGAATTTCTCACAGACAAGGAAAAAGACATTACTCTAGCAGCAGTAAGAATACCTTCTCTGAGGCATTTTGAAGGAGAACGAGTACAGCTCACCCTAAAATATTCCACATAAAGATAAAAGTTTATAGCTAGCTTCACCCTAAATCTTCAGAGCAAAGCTCAAGTTCATAGTATTTGTATATTCACAGAAGTTTTAGATTAACTACTCACCTGTTAAATCAAACTTGTACTTTAGGTACACTTGGTCAAATTGGCTGCAAAAGCACTCTAACATCAAATTTCAAATATTTAACTCATGTTTTGCATCTGTAAGTAATGTGCTTATTCCAGAACAAAACCACTTATCACTTTTCAAATGCTGAAGCTCTACAAAGCTCCATTTCAAACTTCCAAATTTGTATGATGATGAGGGCTAGGCGGATTAAGACTTGCTATGACTGGATGAATACACCATACTTTTTCCCCCCCTCCATGAGGCAGTCAAGCAATGAAGCAGGTCACCCAGGGAGACTGTGCAGGCTCCATCAGAAGTTTTCAAGCTCCAAATGGATAAAACCCTGAGCAACCTTGTCTGGCCTCAGAGCTGACCCTGTTGTAAACCAGAGAGTGGACTAACTCCTGAGGAAGCTTCCAACCTCAATTATCCTGTTATCTCTCAGGAAGATAACAATCAAATTCAAGCTGAACTTCTGAACTAACAATTACAGGAATTTTCCTTGCTCCCCTCTCCCTCACCCCTGAAATTCTTTCCCATCAAGTAGTAAGATATCTCAGACAGTAAGGAAGAGATTTTGCAAAGAGTAATCAGTCTTTCCACAGCACTGTAAATCAACACTTAAATACATTAAAATAAACTAACAATACTAGTCATAGTAAAAAAACTGCCTGTAGAAACATTCTCCCCCTACAAGAATTAACCGCTGCAAGTAAAACTTTTAGCACAGTCACCTGCACTGTACTCTGTCAACTTTTATATTTTCAAGAAACCAAACTGAACTAACAGAATCTGTAAATTTTTTTTCAGAAGCATACTTTCCTCTGTGAATTGTTTTGACCAAATTATCAAGCACATTCTATTTTTAACATACATCTTCACTATTACTTCCTCAGTCTCCCTCATGCCCCACCCCCC